TGTGCACAGTCTGTGAGGAGAAGACAGTCCCATATTTCTCTCAGCAAAAGAAGAACAAAGAAATAAAATAGGTTGAAGAAAATTCAAGGAGGAAGTATAGTGTATTACATCTTTATTAACCAATTTACCCTTGGTTTGGTCCTGTGTGGTTGGATGTTCTTGTTTTGTTCTTATGGGTTCTGAAATGCAGACAGAATCAGAAAGATTCACAATCATGTGCTTACTCAGGCAAGCTAGGGTAGTTTTCATTTTATTTGAAGAATTTACTGTTCTACAGCTTCTGTTTTAATTGACTGCAGTCTCTTACTGTGATTAGATGCTACTTCTATTTCTAGGTCTTTTGATGAATTTATTTTTCTTCTTTCTTTCTCGCTTTCTTTAGGTCTTTGCCTAAGCTCTGACAACTCTGTACAGGACATTTTTCCAACTTTCATATTTTCTACATTGTTTATTCAATTTCAAGTGTAACTTATGAAATGCTGTCCCTTGCAAGAGTAAGACTGTAGAACTTTGCCTACTGTACATCTACTGATAATCTAAAGTATGTACTATCTTGAGACATTCCTTCCAAAGAGTAAACTTACATTTTGTAGATTTGTTTCAAGGGCAGGTCTGGGAACTCATAAATCTAATATTTGCACGGTCTGGTTGCCCTGGTAGAGACTATCTGGAAAATACTTGTTATATTTGTCTTTTACTTAATGGCATGGGTTTAGATGTGGCTAGAATTCAGTAGTAAAATTCTAGGGGGTTCTTTTCTTTTGTGTTCTCTGGGCTCTTGGTTATTGTTTTCTGTGAAAGGTGTGTACAGGATGGTTGGTGTTTTCCTTTTCAACTTCCCTTTGGATGGATACATGTTCTGTATGCCCAAATATACCCCTTTTCTCCCTAAGCTGGCAGGAGACTTTTTGTACTATAGAAATATCAAAGGAAAGGCAGCATAGTGCATCTACATTGTGTGCATTTGGCAATCATCTAAAACATTAGTCTGTCTGGGGTGGAGACAGGAAACTGTTCTGTGCACTGAAAAGATGTTCTACAACTCAGGTTATGCTAAACACTCTTGTCTTCTGGATTATAGGAACTACTCAAGTAGTCTTTGCAGCATGTGTAAGTGCTTGGTCCCTTTCCAGGATATGGGATTTGGAAAGATTATATGCTAAAAACAATGTTTGATATTCTCCAAGATGTATTTTCTGACTTCATATGTTATATTTGTACCAGGCCAGTAGTATGAGCAATTACTGTTCATATTCAGGATCTCAAATAATTTTTAGATCTGATTCACATATGAGGGTTTTGTTCTAATTTGATGGTGTGACTGTTCTCTACAGTCACTGTTTTTATGTTATTACTTCTACAAATCTGCCATGATGCGGTTACACTGTGTAGTTTATTTCATTTTCCAATGTAGAAATACACTACACTAGCATAAATGCTATTTTACTTGTGAATGCATTCATGCTGGGGCATTGATTTTTCTTTCATTACATTGGTGTAGTCTATGGAGTACAAGTATTATCTGCAGCTCAAGTGTTTGTCACTCTATCCTAGAGAAGCTGCACTTCATTTCCATGAGTGCATAAAAGATCTGAATGAGATCCATACAATTATCCCCCACCTCAGTGTGCAGGCTGGAAGATGCTCATCTGTCCCAGTGAGAGCCATTACTGGGTTCTTGATTGTTCTTATGAAAATGTAAGAGTTTGGTTACCTGGTGCTGCCATCTCATGAGTAGAAGGAAAAAAGGAGCACTTCACAAGGTCTGAACTATTTCCCTTCCTTGATAAGGAGCAGTTCAAATACACAGTTTAGAACATTCCCCACAAGCATTTACTTTATTTCTACAACCAGTAATGCAATTAATGTATTTTTTATCTTACATAAAAGTAGTATCTATCCAATTCACTGTCTCCTGCCAGTTGTTATAGCTGATACTCTTAATTGTGGTTGCAAATGATGGTCTGTGTGGCTTGCTGTGCCAGACTGTTCCTTCTCTTGCTGATTGTCCCATGTCACACTTGTACTGTAGTATGCACCCGATGACTACAATGGCCTAATTCAGCTGAGCGATCAAGCCAGGAGTGTGTTACAAGCACCGAAAGAGTGGGTCTGTTTGTAACTCTTTGTAACTTCTGAAGAAGGTAAGATGTGACTGCCAGAGCCTGGGCCTCCAGAGGTGAATGGGAAGGGAAAGAAGGGCTTGGTGCTACAGAGATCTTTGCTTGTGGCTTTCCCCCATAGTAGCTTGCATTGGGATCCTGGTGTTAGTCTTCCTGCTTCAAAAATCAACTAACCCAAGGAAATGGGCTGACTGTGATCTGTAGCTGATGGGGCAGCAGTGGTGGAGGCAGTGATTGCCTGGTTCTGCTCAGATGGTGTGTTCAGCTTCCAGAAGGGTTTGTTAATGCTTGTATCTCATGTGAACCTTTCAGCCTAATATTTTCCTTTTAGTAGAATAGTAGGAGATTATTTTTTTCTCCCTGATATTGCTAGAAAGCACATTCAAATGTGTGTGTGAAGATCCCCAGACCTCTGGCTGTGTCTTTTTTGTACCATATAATTGACTAGAGATAAATATGTCTCCTTGATCTCCCTAATACAATGTGAACTATTACATTTTTGGGTATAGTGACTTTCTAATGCAACTAACTAGATTTGCTAACAGTAAATTTGCCTGCATCTTTGGCACTTACACATAATTCTTAGAGAAATTTTGTTATGGCCTATGTAAACTACATTATGCCACAGTACTACTGTATTCCATTCAAAAGGCTACTGATTAGTTAGTATATTTTCTTTTTCCTTAAGAAAAAAACAGAACAACCTTTCAGTTTAAAAATGGCAATCACATAATATGCTTTGAGAGAATTACTTTCACAGACAAATGTACTTTCACTAACAACCATCAACTCAGTTGTTTTCAAATTAGTTGTTTTCTTGTGTTGGATCTGTAGGGAGCAGATGGACTGCACGGTCTGGTGATTAACTGGAAAACCAGATCAGCAGTTGGTTTCTACTAAGTATGACATGGAAACGGTCTTAGAATTCAGACTGAGCTACTCCATGAATTAGTCAAAGTAGTATTATACAGGTACCACTGTTGGAGAGTAAAAAAAAAAAAAAAAAAAAATCCAGAAAAAAAAATTTGTGTGAATCTGAATCCAAATTTAAAACACAAATGTACATACAGAAAATCTATTTCTCTAGAATTATCTATAAATAAGAACTTAAACCTAGTATGTCTCAAAATGAAACTGAAGGGGCTCATTTAGTTCTTTTAATTAAGTTGCTTGCAGAATGTGTAGACTTCTATGCTAACTTTCTGTGCAGCTCTCATAACATGAATTTCTAGAACCCTACATTGGTATTACACCAATACTGCTATTTAAACTATGTTTTTAAACTCTCCTCTGTTCTCAGAGGTCTAACTGTGTTCCATGTGTGTTTTCAGCTGACTCTCAGCTGAAATATTAAAGTTCTGTTCTGGACTGATGGTAAATGAGTTGATCCCATATGGATTAACAGCAAAGAGCTGGTTTAGAGCAGAGCATCTTTTAGCTCAGATTTGCAGCTCAAACCAAGTCGTGAACAGCTTTCTCTTTGAGAGAGGGTTACTCTGAAATAAACCAAGATTGCTTCCAAACTAGAAGTGGGCTTTAGAGATGATGTATTTTATCTGGGTTTTTTTATTTCTTTTGCATGCTATTTCTTGACTAACTTTAGTTCTCTGAGAGGAAATGATAGAAAGTTTGTACTAACTGTCTTATGCATGCTTTTGGTTTTTAAAGTGTGCTGTTGCTTATATTTTAAGAATATTTTTACTGCTTGTTCAGTGTTTGGGTGAGTGAAGCTCTGGCATGCACTTGATTTATTTTCGTATGTTTGAATGTAAAGCTGATATAGGATATGATCTATGAATGAAATGCTATTGGTAATAACTGAGAAATCTGCTGTTTCTTGTAGTATACCAGACACACAAGTTCTACAGAAATGAAACACTTAAATATTTTAACCTTTTATAAACTCAAGAGGACATATGTCACATGAACTTAACTTGAATTAATATTCATAAAGCTTGTTCGTTTTCCAGCATTGCTTTGTCTGACACTGTTTTTCAAAGAAACTAACCTTGTATGCTGAGCTTTTGGTCCTTCAGCCTCTCATTTTGAAACTTCATTTCTATCCAACAAGCAGGAGCTCAAACTTAGCTTGGAAGAATTTCCTGGATCTTATGGAAAATGGATGGGGTACAATAGAGCTGACTGTAATGTCTGATTGAACTCAGCAATTTGGAACTGCCTTTTAAGACTTTATGAGGGCAAATGCCCTCAAAAGTAAATCAACTCCAATGACTAAATAATCTTGTCTGCTAACCTGCTTTTCTTTAGTCTTGTTAAAATTACAATAAATATTTATTTAATTCAGTTTTGCGCCAAATTTTACTTCATTTTTCAGAAAAAATCTTCCTTGCACTGTATACCTGTGTTGAGTTCAGCTCATTCTCCCAACAGAGAACTCATACAGCTCTTTTATTTTTGGCATGGTCTTGGGGTTTTTTTTAACTTTGTGTGTGAGTATTGACATGCCTTAATAGCCTTTGTCACTTGGCCAGTAGTCCACATAGTACAAGAATTATTCATGCCTGGATTTCTTGCTCCATTCACCTCCTATTAACCTCTAACACTCTCCTTTTATCAACCTTTAATCTCAATTGCTTCTCTAGCAAAACTTTTGCAGAGAATTATGTCTACATCACTATACTCAGCACTCCAGCAGAATAAGAGCTGCTGCTGTTTGCCAAGCTAAAATTTCCTTTAATCTTTGATTCTTTCTCCTTCCCATTCTTAACATTCAGAATATTTTCACCATGCACACAGGAGTGGAGTGAGCCAGATGCACTAAAAAATGCACCAACATGACAAAACTGCGTTTCCAGGTGTTGTCTTTCGTCTTAATAGTTTTTTTTTTTTTTCTTTTGTCTTCTTGTACCATTGCAGCTCCAAGCAGATTCCATCCTCATGCTTTACAACTTTAGTGGGCAGCCCAGTGGCGAGGCGTTGGTGACTTTTCCAAGCCTGGATCTAGCTAAGCAAGCAGTGGCTGAGAGAAACGGACAGCTCCTGGGCAGCCGCTGTGTACAATTGTACCTGGTCTAGCTGAACTTTCTGGAGGATGAGGAAAGGATGTTGCACTCAACACCGTGCCTTTTGCAAAATAAGAAGTCTTCCCTTGCCACCCAGGCAGCAACAAATGTGCCTTTTCAGTGTAACATGCTGGAATGCAGCATGGTGCATGTCCTTTTTAATTTGAAAAATGGCATCTGCTATGCCAAAGATAAAGTGAAACCAAAAATTGTGCAGTTAATTTACTTAATTTCTAACCTACCTGTGTAAAAAGAAGCAAAGCTGCTCCTGGCATGCAGTTAATTCTGGAGACAGCCCAATATCACTTCAGCTACCGCAGCCACGGGCAAAACTTACTCAGTAGCATTTGAAGTGGAAAACAATGCTTGAGTCATTCAGATTCTTCTGTGTTTAGTTTTTAAGGGTTTACACTTGACAAAGTGTCTTGTTCTTGTAGAGTTTAAATGTCTTTAGAAAGGTCTTTTGGAATGCATGGCTTACCCAGTTCAAAGCGTAGATCATATTGATTTTTGTTTTGTTTTGTTCTTGACTGGAAAATATCAGGATGCTGGATCTTGAACCAATTGTGCTTTTTCATGTTTTCATTAGACATTGTTTTGCAAAAGCCATATTTGACCTTCTTACCAGTGTACTGCTGCCAATGCGTAAAGCGAAAAAATAAAACCAACAGCAAAACCAGAAAAATCCTCTCTTCCCACCCTGCTCCCAACCCCATATTTTTAGTCTCTACAGGACAAAAATGGCACATAAACCTGAGTACTAATAAGTTATATTTTTTTATTTAAGCATAATAGCTTTCAGATACTGTATTAAAGATTTTGCTCTAGTTTATGTGCATGCAATTTGTTTACATCTTTAAACTACTTTATTTGTATATTATGAAACAGCAAGATATGTTGAAATCTGAATTCACTAGTGCATGCTTTTTTCTTTTTCCCATGTGTATATACATAAGCTAGAAGTACTTTTACGTCATGTAGCACGTGTTTAAAAAAAGACATCTGCTGTAGAAGCACTAAATGACTTTGTTTTTACTGTGCCTTACTTCTAAATCATTCCAAGTGCAATACCAGCAGAGCAAAATGTAATGAATTCTGTTGTTGACATGTTCATGGATGTCTGAATTGATCTTTTTTTTTGTTAGTGTACAATTTGAGTTGTACTTAAAAGAACTGAATGATGTATGCTTCTTTATATTACAATAAAAGAGATGCTTACAATGTGCATTGCCTTTTGAAAGTAACTTATGCTTTGCTTTAATGTATTCTCACAGAGCATCAGGCTTTGATAAATAGCCTTACACACTTTTCTCCTAGATTTAGATGAGCATTTGTATTTGTGACATCTCTGTTTTTTGGGGGGTTGTGGTTTTTTTTGTTGTTTTGGGGTTTTGTGGATTTTGTTTTGTTTTGTTTTTGCCTTTTTGCATGTTCCAGTAAGCCAGAAATCTCTATGATGCATGTTTCTCTCCTAGTGCAAAACATTTTAGGCAACATGATGTAACTGTTTACATGCTTAGTGTTCTCTTTCTGTTGCCAGAGGAAACAAAGTATTGAACTTGAAATTGCATTCGTGTTTGCATTTAATTGACCTCACGGGTCCCTCACTTATCTGTGCAACCCAAAATGCTACATTTAAGTCAAGATAGAGCCAGTCAGCCGATTTGTACTGAAAATTGAGGAAGGGGGAGGAAGTCACATCAAGATAAGAAGGTGTGTTTCTCACTAGTCAGACACATCTCATGCCAGATTCCGTTTCATCATCCAAACCACTCAAATTAAGTTTCAGCACAATCAGGTGGAACTGGAGGGAAGGATTTTTTTTTTTTTTTTTATGGGAGTGCTTACAATAACCTGTTTCCAATATTAATCTTGGTGAAGTCTGACAAAAATCTTAGTTTTAAAGCAATTTGAATAGTATAAAGGATTGCACAGTGGTAATTAACATTCTCATTATGCCTTGGAGGAAAATTTGGTAGCTGTGTAGTCCATTTATCACACACTTAGTCTGCCACGGTCCAGCTGGTCACGGCTTTGCAGGCTGTGGAAACATTCTCATTTTTCCTCTTGTAAAACCCATATGGAACTTGTGGGTTTCTGCTTCCTTGGCAAGGTGAGGCAGGGCTGGAATGGAGAACCTCAGTCACATCAGCCGTGATTTAGATGTAAACACTCCCTACTCGTTTAACCCCTTTGTGGCTCAGTCGGCAGCGATCGATCACAGCTCTGCTTTGGAGTGCAGTCCCATGCCCACGCCACAAACTGCAACCAGGCTCTGCCACCTGCACAATCCGTACCTACCACCCGCTGCTGGTTTAGTCCCTGTTTAGCATGAGATGGTGGAAACCAGTTCTAGAAAGTGAACTTGGGGATGTTTCAGGCTGTGTGATTTCATGTGGGAAGCCAAATGTGTGGAACATGGGACCAGTGTATAATTTTTAGCAGTTACTGGTGTAAAATGACTGCAAGGGCAGTGGCAATGTTTTGGGTAGACCAGAGCACTCCGGGTGGGGCTGACAAGAGACCAGACCTGAGGATGCTCTTCCTCTGAACTTTGACTTTCTTGCTTATATTGAAAATCTGTGGTCTTGCCTACAAAAAAAAAAAAAAAAAAAAAAAAAAAAAAAAAAAAAAAAAAAAAAAAAAATAAGGGTGACGTTAAAAAACGAAGTGCTGCTGGCACTGCTGGGGCAGGAATCCCTCAGGATCACAGGGTATTCCGAGTCGGGAAGGGCCCACCGGGACCATCAAATGGCCCTCCCGGGGATCGAACCCGCGGTCTCGGCGCTACGGGCACGGCGCTCTGCCCGGGGCCTGATCCCCTGAGGGACGGTCCCGGCCGAGCCCCCGCCGGATCAAACTCCGCCAGCCGCCTCTTGTGCTTCCCTTTGGCTCCGTAAAACCGGGACGGCGGAACCGAAGCGGTCCGGCTCTCCCGGGCTCGGCTCCAGAGCCAGAGGGGCCGGTCTGGGCCCGCACCCGGCCTTTGAAGCTTTCCGGCACCGAGCCCGGCCGGGGCTGCCCGCAGGGTTTGTTCCTGGGCTCCGGGGCTGTGCCGGGCCCTCAGGTGAGGCAGTGGGGCTGGGCCGGGCCCTCAGGTGAGGCAGTGGGGCTGGGCCGGGCCCTCAGGTGAGGCAGTGGAGCTGTGCCCACGCTGACCCCTCGGCTTCACCTCTGCAGCAGCAGCAGCCACCAGCAGCGTCCCTTGGGCCCTGCTCACCTGGAATTTTGCTGCAGACGTTTTATAGCTGATAGGCTGGCTTCGAGCCCAAGAGCTCTCCTCCAGAGAGGGAAGATAAAACTTGCATAATAATACACGTGTTTGGATGATGGCTTCCATCACTGGAGAAGGCTGGGAGCTTGGGGTAAGTGCTAAGTGTTTTGTGTGTTCTTTGATGAATGCATTTACTCTTTGTGATTGGTTTTAGACTATGCTGAGTTGCAAACCCTTATCTGAGGAATCTCTGCCTTTAAATGCACACAGCTTAACAGAAAAATAAAAAAGCTTTAAGCTTTAAGTGTTTCACCAAAGAAGAAGTGAAGTTTGGTAAAGAACTCCGATTTGACTTTTACTGTTGTTAAAGAAAGAGTCCTCACACTCAGCCACACAATTCGAATCTCAAAAAGAAGCTTCTTCTGTGCTTGCAATCAGCAAACTCCTTCACCTGCATTCGTGTTGCCACGGAACAGAATTACCACTGGTTGTATTTCTCCTGATTTCACACTTCTGATAGTGCTGGTTTGCAGATGATTCATTTAGTCATTTCTACTCCCACTCTCCTGAGACTGATAATTTCACCTGGAGATGATTTCTGTGTTGGCCTATCCCATGGGATATTCCTGCCCAGCCTAGAGAGAAGACAGCTTATTCTTGTTACCCTTGGAGGTGAGACTGAAGAGTTTGAAATGGCCATTCTCTGTTTCAATAGTTGCAGCTGTGCATCCAGAGCAGGTGTTTCTTCTTGGGATTTCCTCATTTGCAGAGCAGGCTTACCCAAGACAAGCTTAAAAGTTTTGTTTGTTTATATGGACTGAGATATTTTCAGCAAATATTTTATTAGTGAAATTAAATTCCTAAATTTTTTTTTAAAGAATAAAAGCTTTTCAGCACCTTCATTTCTGAAATAGTATTTGTTCTATTTCAGTCAGTTAAAATGAACTGCTGATGAAGGCTGGCAGTTTAACCTCCTGCGTCCTGTCTTATATAGAACTGTATTTGACAAAATCTTTTATAATATGTTTTAAGTCTATCACTAGAAGTGTCTTCTAAAAGCTGTTGCATCTAAGGAAAGCTTGAAATATTCTAAAGCAGAAAATTCCTAATGCACCAAGGTTTGCCTGTAGTAAATTTAAAATGTTGCCTTTTTATATCTACTTGTTATAAAGCTTTTGAAAAAGAGCAGGTGAGGGCTACTGTATTACCTAGCTGGATATGCAGCCGAAATGCAAATATTCAAATAAACATGACAACAAGTTGATTTAGACTTGCTAATTGACATTTCTTTAATTGCTGTATTATAATAATCGTTTTACTTTAGATACTTTTTTTTAAAAATAGCTATTTTGGGTGGCTTTCTGTGAGCTTGCTGACAATATAAAGCTGAGTTTAAAGACAATGCTTTCCCTTTTGTAAACATTACAAAGGTATTGCTCTAACTTTGCCGATTTAATGTTAGCTGTGTGATAATATCTTTTGCTGCCAGTAGATGTCCCCTTTCCATCGGGGTTTGCAAGAAGGGGCTCGAAGCAGCGGCTTTGGAGCCGGGAGCTCCCTGTCAGCAGCTGCAGCCGGAGCTCCGGTGTCCGGGAATGCTCTGCTGTCTGTTAGCCTTAAACTCCGAGGTCATTTTGCTGCTCATAAAATTGTTGACTTAAGTTGGTTGTGTTGGTTTTTCGTGTTTTTTTGGTTCCCCCCCCCCCTTTTTTTTTTTTTTTTTGTCAAATTTGTTCTTGTTTTTCTATTCTAAATGTTTTCTCCGAGTTCATTGATATTCAATAGGGTTGCTTTGAAAT